CTGGACAGCTGGAAGCTCCTCTCTGAGAGGAAGGAATAGAACCAGTCCAAAGCAAACCCAGAGTACCCACCCACTTCCTAAGCCTGTCAATCAGGATGCTGTGCTTGTTTTAACATACAGAGCGCTGCACCCGGGCACATCTCCGACATGCTGCATCCGTATATTACCACCAGGCCACTAAGATCCTCACACCAAGGCCTACCAGCTGTAGGACGTCTCAAAACTAGAGGTGACCGTGCTTTCCAAGTGGTTGCACCGACACTGTGGAATACTCTTCCGTCAGACCTACGCTCTAGGTCTCAGTCGAAGCATTCAAAAATCAGCTGAAGACTTTTTTTATTTAAAGAGGCCTTTGTCTCCCTGTAAACCTTTAACTGTGAATATTGATGTTTTCTTTAAAATGCCTTAATTTTTGATTATTTATGCGCCTGTTAATAGACACAAGTACATTGATTATATTGATTGGTGTCTTTATAATGTTTCATGCTTATGTATGATTGTCTGATTGCTCCACTGTTTTATTGTTGCTTTTATTATTATCATTGTAAAGCACTTTGACTTGCTCTGTGAAAGGTGCCTGTTTTAAGGTGCCTTACTTACTACAGCCCGATGACGCCACAATAATTGTGGGAAGTAATTGCATCATCGATTTTTGTCGACTACGTTCAGTATTTGTTGCACCCCTAATCCAAAAACATGATAAAATATAAAATGAAAACAAACATCACATTCTCAGCTGATGAGCGTCAACGGTGACGTTTAATAAAGAAGTCAGAAGTAGATGAACACAAAAAGAAACTTTATTTACAAAGTCAGCTTTCATGAAATAAATTAACTTAAAGACAGAAAAGTGACACGTCACAATATATTAGGACCGTATTTTCATATTAAATAAAAGCCGCAGAGGCGTACATTACATGTGACCTATTCAGAGGAGGTAAATTATTCTGTTCATAGAGAAGTGAAACCTGTCAGGAGATCAATCTGATGGATGATTGCGTGAACGATCAGCAGGAATGTGAAGGTTTACAGTTTTTTTTATTTTTATTTTTTAAACGTTCTGTCTGTTGATGCACAGAGTCAGCGTGTGGATAAAGTTGAACTAAATGAACAGAAGTGATTTTTAGGAGCGTGTCCTCGGCCGTGTGCAGTCCTCTCTGTGTTCACATGACTGACCTGAGGGGAGAAAGAAAAGGAGAAGGTCACGTTAGGTCACTGTAGATCCTCAGGACGTCGTGTTGGCACAGATATCTGTTTGGATGTTTACGTTTTCACATTAGGAAGAGAGTCATATTTCCCCCCTGTTAGCTTCTCTGCACCAGAATGCAGGGTTACTTGTGTTCCTAGAGTCTCCAAAAGTAGACTAGGAGCCAGAGCGTTCAGCTATCAAGCTCCTCTCCTGTGGAACCAGGTTCCAGTTTGGGTTCAGGAGGCAGACACCATCTCCACATTTAAGAGTAGGCTTAAGACTTTCCTCTTTGATAAAGCTTATAGTTAGGGCTGGCTCAGGTGAGTCCTGAACCATCCCTTAGTTATGCTGCTATAGGCCTAGACTGCCGGGGGATTTCCCATGATGCACTGAGCTCCTCTCTCCTCTACTTTCTCTCCCTCTGTATGCAACCTCATCCCATTATTGCATGTTACTAACTCAACTTCTCCCCTTTCCGGTAGTCTTGTGCTTTCTCGTCCCTCTCCTCTCCCTCCTATCACTTCCTGCAGGTGTTTCTGGTTCTGGAGTAGAGATGCACGATTTGGAGAAAAAGTCTCTTGGGGACAATTTTGCGATTTTCGATTAAGTTAAACAATATTTATAACGATAACAAGTAAAACAGAATAAGGGGAGCGTGTTGCTATCAGGAGGTGGCGGCTAGAAGCAGCACATATTGGCACGCTGGCACCGGCTCAATGCAGAATCTCGGTCCACAACCTGGAGGAGGAACTGTACACGAGTGTATTAGATAAAGAGTATAATGTTTAGTTAATAGTTTACTATAATATATTAAATACTAGATTCATTAGAATTTCTTAGAACAGTATACTTTTTACCACATGTTGAATATTAAATCCAGTTACAGCTGTTTAATTTCTGTGGGTTATTTTTATTTATTTAATCCTTGTGTAAGTTAAATGCCCTACATCGGTCTCTAATTTGTTAATGTTCAGAACTAACTTGTCAATAATCATATTGTTCAACATTTAATGATTTGCTGTAGCACATTAAACTTGTTTAATGTCCCACCCCATCCAGCCTGTGATTGGTCTGTTGACGAAAAGTGAAACCGACAGGCACGTCGGCTCTGTGAAAAGTCGAGCGTGTTGAACAACAAAAGGCACCGATACAGCGAACGTTAAACGGTCAGCGAGTCAAACCTTCCTTATCCTCTCCCAGTTTTCTTCTGTCTGACCGCTTCAGCTGCTGCCGACGTCGCTCTGTCTCTGTCACAGAGCGACCGGAGCACGAGTCCGACTAGGTTTTGAATGATTGGCGGCGGCGGCACTGCTCATAAAATATTTTTTCTCATTGTAGGCTTATCTGCCCGGTGTGGGTGAAGATAATGAGCAGACTGCAGAGCACAGAGTGTGTCGCATACTTTTTCTGTTTTATTAAATCACACACTTTTTGCGGTTATGTAATCGCACATGACATCGCGATTAGATTAATTGTGCAGCCCTACTCTGGAGTCTGGATCTGTGGTTGCGGGCTTCCTGCTGCCCCACCATCACAGGGGAAGCCCTTTAGTGCCATTGTTCAACGCTTAAGACACAGAAAACTAAGGATAAGGAAGAAAAAAAAAAAGTGACTTTCACTCAGGAGACCGATGTTTGTTTCTCCTCAACAGTCAACATCGATTCTTTTTAGTGATGTAAAATACGTTTTGTAAGTTACGTTGGTATTTTAACCCAAACCATGATCTATTCCTAAACCTAACCAAATAGTTTTGGTGCCTAAGCCTAACCAAATTCCACCGTTTCACAACGTTAAGTCTAACCAGACTTTGCATATTAGTTATTGCTACCTTGCCCTACACGTGCAAAAATGACACTAAAGGGGACCCAGGGCGTTAAAATGGGTTGTTTATCTCTACCAGACATTTCTATCATCTAATCTGTAATCTTAATAGATAATTAATGCACAAATAAACAGAACATAGCCTGAACATTACAGTTTTTATCACATATCTCCATCTAAGATCAAAACCAAACTGACCCACTCGTTTAGGCCTGAGGCTCCACTGTGGTGCAGGCACCTTTAACTATTAAGTTTTACTTGTGAACTGTTCTGGTCTGGATGGATGAAAGTGTTTCTCACATTATTCACTTATTGTCTGACACTTTTTGAAGCATCTGGGAGAGCAGAGACAGTAGCTGATGTTTAATTTCAACGTGGCAGCTGTTTGGGTTTCCCTCCGTTTTCAGTGAAAGCTGCGCATCAGCAGCTTCAGGGTCGTACCGGATCAATTTGGAAGCGGTACTGCTGTGGACTCAGGAGCAATTAGGCAGCGTTCAAAGTCCAAAACACAAAAACTGAAGTTACTTTGGAAGAAAACTGAGTCGAGGCTTAAAAAGACACTCTGGGCTGCAGTTCCACGAGTGACGCGTGAGTCTACGGACAGCTGTATTGATTAAAACAGAAACGTAGTGAACTTCCAAGTTCCTCCACATCATTGCCAACACTTTAAAGACTCCATATTGAACACTTTGAGAGTTCTGTCAAACAATGTAACCCAACATCAAATCAGACATTTCAGTGGGAACCAAAACAGATTGTGAACTTAACGGTGTTTCCTGTCGGTGTGTGTTCACAGAGACGGGTGTGGCTTCCTGTAGGTCTCGTTGGTGATGGACAGGCGGGTCAGCCGAGCGCCGTAATAATCCACGATGTAGTTTGATCCGTCTGCGGGACCCACGATCTGCAGGACGACAGGAAACACACGAGGCAGGTGAAAATAATATTAACACACAGAGTGCAGGAAAAAACTATGACTCTATCACGATAGAAAGAAATTTAGAAGTCGATACCAATACCAGAGAAATTCCATTATTTGCAATGCCACGGTAAAAAACCATGTACTCCAACATACACTCCTTTAATAAAAACATCTGAACATTACAAACAGCTGTGAAAGCTGTGATGTCCAGGTTTGATTTCAATATATTCATAAATGAGCAAACAACCTTGCACTGTGCATAATTAATTTCTTTTTTCCCCATTGCAGGTGTGTGAAATGTTTAAGGGTGGTCACGATCTATATTTGCAGAGGTTTGACATTTCTGTATTGAAAAACTAAACGGTTACTGATGATTGAACAGTAACAGGCGCGTTGGACAGACGTTCAGTTCTTGGTTCTGCAAACTGCACCGTCACCTTTGATGATTTTGAGCTGATCTAAACTGTGAGACGTCTGTCTGAATTAGCTCTCGATCAGATCCTAGAACTGGGAGAAATCCAGGCTTTGACATGGATCTGTTCCATCTGTAACTTCACCCTGTTTTCAAAACTGTCACTGCAGCTGCGCTTGTTACCATCTTTTATGTGTTGGATCTCCGGTACCTAGAAAAACGTGTACCGACAGAATTTGTTCTCGGCTCTTCTGACATTTAGGAATGCACCGAATGTTCGGCCACCGAAATGAATGGGCCGAAAATAGCAAAATAAGCACTTTCGGTGTTGACATGTCAGCAGTGTGGAAGCATTTTAAAGTGTCTGAGCCGTTTGCAGATGCTGTTCTGCTGAATTGTTTCCCAGCACATCCGCTCCATCTGTGGCTGACTTCTTAGAAAAGAACCGCTTTGTGTTTCTGTCTCTCCTCTGTGAGAAGGAGATTAAACTAGCCGCACCTAAATTTGGAGTGCACACGTATTCAAGCCTTTACGGTAAGTGAAGCAGCCCAGAGCGAGCTGACAGGCAGGTTAGAGACTTTATCCTGTCAGTTTGTCTCTTTAGTATGAAGAGAGGCTGTGAAGTCTTCATGTTACAACATTATTTATCAAACCGGGTCGGACTGGATGGATTTAGCGCGAGGAGGAAACACATGTGACAACGTCCGGTTTTCAAAATAAGATGTCTATACAGGATGGAAATAAGATTAATTGGATTATATTCACAGAAAGCCAAGAATAGTGACATCCCTACTCCATTTAGACTTGAACACCTGTTACCTCAGCAGCTGGACTGACAGAAGACATCGACTCATCGGTGTGTTTTCCTACACTTGTTCCTGATCATCTGATTTGTTAAAAACAGCTGACTAACTAATCCATAACACTGAGGCCCCATCCACACAGTTATAAAGCAAATCTCCGTCCACAGCAGCGTTTTAGCTGCGTATCAGAGTTGATCTATATTAAAACAACCGAAAACGCACATCTAGTGGCCGTTCATGTTCACTGTGCATCCACGTGCCGGTGTAAACATGAAGCAGATGGTCTATTCCGTAGTTACAGAACATTTGGTGAAAGAATAAAGTACTACAGATGAAGAACCACAGCAGGTTCAGTTAAAAGCGGCGGAAAACAGACTGGGAGTCGTCTCAAAGTAAATACGGCGACATGCAACGTACAAGCGTAGGCTGTAAGTGTTTGCACGGTACAAAATATTTTAATAAAAATACAAAATCTAAAACTCAGCAGCATTGTGTTTCTGCTCTGCATGTACGTAAGCGTCTGCATCGTCGTTTCTAAAGTCCTCCGTTTTTGCCCGCCTTCACTAAAACACCACCCCGGCATTTTAAAACGAAAAACGGGGTCAGTAGCGTTTCCAAAACTTTTTTTTTTGCCGTTTCAGTCTGGACGGGAGGTGCAAACGTAGCAAAAGATCTCTGTTTTAAAACAAAGACGCAGCAGTGTGGACGGGGCCTGAGGGTGTCCACTCTTAGAATCCCAGATCTGGGAAAACCTGCACTCGACAGGTCCTCAATCTCACTGCGAGACTCGTCCACCGGTGGCTGACAAATACATGCCGCGACAAAAAATTCTGACAGAATCAGACATTTAGGACCAAATTCTCACAATGTTTCTTCTGCTACGAGGCCACAGCTACGCACCAACCAATCAGCATTAAGCATGCCATGATGCAGAATACACAGGCAGACATATACATGAAGATCCCACAGCGGTGGATGTTGAATGAGGTTAAATAAAGACCAAACGCAGGGGCCACAAAGTCTCTTGGTGCTGATATATTTATAAAACAAGGTTATTTAGGGGGGGGCTATTTTATAAAAGGATAACAAGTGATATCCTGGCGTTCTGTATGTTACAGCCCGGCGGGTTAATGACAACATTAACTGCTGTCACGCTCAAGTTTAAACTCCCCAATCAGTCAAACATGGCTGATGACTCTGATCCACCGCTGGTCCCCTTCACACCTTCCTGTGATGGATTTCCAGCTCCTATTATCTAAAACACTTGAACAGGAAGGAGTGATTCGTCCCTTCACCTCTGGTTTCCCCTCGCTCCATCCGTCTGTCTCCGTCCTCTCAGAGTCCATTAGGAACTTCTGGAAGCATCATTCATCCTGAGGCTGAGACGCCGCGCCGCAGAAGGATGGATGGGCGTAAATAATAATTCAGAAGGCCGACGCCTGTTTATTCATCAGGCTCGGTGGTCCCCCCCCCCCCACCTCCACGCCGGGCAGTTAGCGGCTAAAGTATGAGGGGCCGCCACCGCCGCGTGCCACGCTGAAATGGATCCTCTGGGGAAACAAGGAACTCTTCATCACAGGCGTCACTCTTAAAGAGGACATGTGAATGTGCGCTGAAGTCGGGTTCAAGCGTTTTGGAGTTTAAATCACTGCTCGCGGATCAGTTTGAACAAAGTCAGTGCAAATGGTCGACAGATACGGGTTTTACAACTGCCGATATTTAGAGAGCAGAAAAGTCACGCACAGCAGGGGTATTTAATTTAAGAGGTCCAGTTAGAGAAAATTTCACATCCAAACGACTAACTTGCGTTAACATTCAGTACCATAACGTGTGGTTGTCTCAACATATGTTTTTAGTCAACTGACTTTATTTCAACAATATTTACTGTCACTTTTCACATCAAACTGGACGGATAATAAATAAATCATAACAATAATAAATAATAATAAATTCTAAATTGTAGGTAAAATAAAATAAAGTGCTTAACTTCATAGAAAAATGAAATAAAAAGTGCAGCCTGAAGTGATAAAGTGCAGTCTCAACCACTTTTATAATAAACACTCGACACATCTTAACAAATGAACAGCTGTAACACCTCCTCTTCTCTTTATAAACCTCTTTCTCTTGTTCGGTGAGAAACGTGAGCTCTGGCTCGGATTGGAAATGAGATATATCCTCTGTCTGTCTATATCCTCTGGTGTTTCTCGCAGACTCGACTCGCAACGCTTATCGGAATGCACAGATTTGATTGGCTGAGCAGCGTCACATGAGACGCTTTATTGACATTTTCAATAAACAAACGGGCATCTTTGTAATGTTACATAGACCCCTAGGGCTGGGCAATAAAACAATAATGATAATTATCACAATATAATTTTCCTCAATAACTATATAACAATTGTTCAATATATCAATAAATATTTGCTTTAATTCATTTGAATCCCAAACAAATTAGCACCTAATTTTTCTATTAAAATATTTATTTTGTTGAAAAATGAGGCCTGAAAAAAGATTTACTAACCATATTTGTTGAAAAAGATAATAGTTTTGAACGTTCTGCTTCAGACTTGTTTAGTGATCCACTGTTTCGCGGGGTTCAGTTTGTCAGACGTCATTCGGCTGCATCATTCTCGACAGTATCTGTATTTAACGCTAACCAGTAATGCTGTTAGATTAGAGCTGCTGGCATTTAGAACAAGTTAACATTTAGAAAAGACGATGGTGACTGTGGACGTTTAGGACTCCAAACTAACTCTTTCACTGACTACCAAAAAATCCCAGAGCGCGAGCGGCAACATCGCACAGCGTCCGCAGACACTTTCTGTTAATCGGTCCTGCGAGTGCATGTATTGGTCCGGGTAATCGATCTATCGCTAGTCAGTGCAGAGCTCAGCACTCTTCTTGTTGTAAAGTTTTCTATTTTTCATGTTGTATAACCACATGGTACCTTCCTTTTTCCAGGAAAAACAAAATAATAAACCCAAAATAAATCAGTAATATCTCCTCAACGGTCACACAATCTTTCAAAAATACACCAGGCGAATGTCCAGGTTTTGGCCATATTTACTGTTTTATATGTTCACTTTTATTGGGAGTTTTCTTCAAAACATTATTTCTCTCCACACAACCACGTTCCAAATAACATCAAGCTTCCAAAACACTGAAATATTGATAAAAACAAGCAATATTCCTGTGGCCTGTAAAGCACTCCCACGCTTTACAGGCCACAGCTTGAGAACAGAACGTCCTACAGGGCTGTAAATGGGCTCTTTCTCTTCGCACTGAAGAGATGAATCTATTGATATCCTGCATTGTCATGTAGCCTCTACGGGTCGCCAGCAGAGGCACGATAAAGACCGCCTCCTCCAAAGCAAACTCTTCTTCTCTACTTCAATCTGATGACAGAAACAAAACTTATCGGCTCAGCCGATCTCAGCAAGATGGCGGCCCGCCAGACGGTCTCTGTGGATACAAACGGCCGCTGTTTTTGGACAGAAAACAGCTAGAACAGCGAAAATCGATCACCTGCCAGATTTTGGGCAGATCCGGTACCACATCGTTAAAACAATGAATCGCTTTCAGGGAAAAAATTGGCAAATTTTGACAACTGATAAAAATCTTGAATATGAAAGTTTGTTTTAGGAGTTTCACAAAATATTCTTAACTCAACGTCCACCTTCGCTTTTTATGGAGCTTTCAACATCATTTCGTCAGCAGATGGAGTTTTCTCAGTTGTCAAAACGTGACTTAAGTACCGAAGTTTAGTCTGTGATATTAGCTGGGAGGCTAATTTTGGCTAGCGACAAACTGGGTTAGAACAAAACGTACTCAGTGAAAAATGAGCAGCCGACTCCTGATGAGCTTTTTCAGCGGCGCTGGTTAAACGTACACAGAGCAGCAGATACGAGTTGCCTCCATCCTGATTGACAGGTCGCCATGGTAGCGACTTGTCAATCACAAGGTAGCCCCGCCCTAAAGCCTCCCCTGCTTCCTGGTCTCTGTTCCTCTAAATGGGACCATAATTTACTAAATGAACATCATGCTGTGTTGAAGAAGACTTGAAACTAGCGACTGAGACCAGAAACTCATCAGGAAAGTGTTTACTGAGGGAATAAATCAGCTGACAAGTAGAAACAGTTTCTTTCTGCAGCCGCTGGAGTCGCCCCCTGCTGGCTGCTGGAGAGAATGCAGGTTTAAGTTACATCTGCATTGGCTTCAGTCGTGGGAGCTGGAGGTTGCTGTTTGCAGCAAACTGCATACATTTGGGTTTTTTGCACGATTTAAAACAAAAACACTGTTTAACGTGTGAATCAGTGCACGTTACAGGGGCTGTTTACCTCCGGACAGAGCCAGACTAGCTGTTTCCAGCCTTTCTGCTATGCTGTCCAGCTACTGTCTGTAGCTTAATATTTACGGCACACGAGAGTCTGAACATCTAACGCACTGCAAGAAAGTGAATAAGCGTCAAATGTTTCCTGTTCACAGGAAACTGAATCTCTTTGGACTGCTGGTCGGACATTTTAGTGATTTTATTCGAAAATTAATCAACCAAATAATGAACACAAACTGCTAATGTACTATAATATATACCTGAACGGGGCGTCGACGGGTACCTGAGTAAGTTTTGTGACTCACCTGCATGGCGATCAGTATGAAGTCGATCAGAGTGCCGATTCCACAGAAACCAACTGTACAGAACTTCAACAGTCCTGAGAGAGACAAGTAGTAACAAGAAAAGTAGGTTTATTTCATGGCTTACGGCAAAATTCCACCCAAAGAGTCAACCTCTGTAAACAATCACTGAATCTCAACTTCAGTTTCCATCATTATAAGGAAGTTTATTTATACAGAGCACCTTTCAAGAGCAGATGTCACAGTGCTTCACGGTAAAAGCTAAAAAGATGCAGAGCAAAAGACATCCAGCTAAACTAAACAAAAGTACATCTGAACTAAAGGTCCAATGGAAGAGTTTTTAACGTCTCCTTTTGACTTCAGGGTTGGAGGCTTGTAACGCACTGGGAAGACCTGTAGCGTCATAGTTCAACCTCACCAGTGGAAGCCCTGAAGCAGCTTTAATGAACGCTAAAAGCTGGTGTAATAAATAACAGAAACGTCTGTTACAACAGCCAGGAGCACAAACGAAGGGGTATCGATCTTCTTGACAAACGAGTTTCCATGCCAGTCAGTCAGAACTGATGAAGTCTGTCGGATGAGGGACGAAACGTCTTCCAGCATTTTCAACCAAGTCCTGTTGCTATCGACTTTAACTTTCCTTAGATGACGTTTCACAACATTAGCCACTAGTTTGGCCTTTTATTGTGGCCAGCCTAAGTGTTTTTATTGTGGGGTTTTTATTGTGGCCAGCCTAAGTGTTTTTATTGTGGGGTTTTTATTGTGGCCAGCCTAAGGGTTTTTATTGTGACCAGCCTCTTGATATGCCACACCTGTGAGGTGGATGGATTATCTTGGCAAAGGAGAAGTGCTCACTATCTTTTGACAAATTTGTGGACAACATTTGAGAGAAATAGGCCTTTTGTGTACATAGAGAAAGTCTCAGAGCTTTGAGTTCAGCTCGTGATGAATGGGGGCAAAAACAAAAGTGTTGCGTTTATAATTTTTGTTCAGTGTATATGAAATTATACAGACTGGCAGGGGAGGAGAAAAAATCTAAACAAAATCGATTATAATAAACAAGTCCTGCTTTCAGGGTCTAAAAGCCAAAACCTTAACCCGCTTGTACACAAGAAGCTGCAGATTTCCACAAAAACGTCCCGGTCCGTTACCTGCTGCTCAGAGGATGAACCCTGCAGATGTCAGTGACCTTTCCCTCTAGCGCCACCATCAGGACTGACTTTACATGTCTAGTACCTCTTCCCGGGTTGTATCTGCGTTTGCTCTGTGAGGCTCTTTAACAAAAACCTGGAAAATGAATTTTTCAGAAAGACATCTGATTTGGCTCGGCTCAGCTTGGCTCGGTTTGGGGCCGACCTGTGCCAAATCAGGCCAGGTGTCTGCCAGTGCAGCTGCCCCCCCACCACCACACAGCCTCTCTCAGCCTTTGTATTGTTGCAGGTGTCTCATTAAAAGAAGCACGAGAGCGGACTCCGTCTGCTGATAATAACTCGTGTTGTGGTGGTAATCATAACTGTTGTTCTTCGGGTTGTTGCGGCCTTTTGTGTGCAGATCAGAGACAAACAAAGACTAATTTAATTTAATTTCAGGCTGGAAACCCACAGAAGTGTGGAAACAGGTGAAGGCCAACGCTGCTCATTTCATCTTTCTACAAAGTCTTTATAGATTTCTGTCAGTGGACAGTTTCACTTCTTCTAATTTGACTAAAGTCATGAGTTTGAAATTTACTTTATCGTTAAGATACTAAATGTTGCTCCTCCCTCTGCTGGTGTCTGTCCAGCTAACTAGACTTAGCTCCCCGTTCTGCAACTTCAGTGACAACAGATTCGTCATCTTAATGCCGGCTGTGGCTGAATCTCTCCCATGTTTCCTCTGACGCTAGCCACCGCGATGCTCACCGCTCTTTCACCGGTCAAGCTAGCAAGCAGCGAGGTCGGCGTGGCGTTCAGAGATCTAGAGTTTCCCAGAGAAGTAGAAACAGTAGATGTGTTTCCAGCCACCTTTCACAGTTTTCCTTTTCTACTTTTTGTGCAGGAAAAACCATATTAAACTTTATTGTAACCCATTAGAATTATTGGCTTACTTTATATGTTAACCTGTTTTTTTTTCTATTCAACTATTTTTTTAAATTCTGTTTTTTATATATATCTACGTTGCTTTTAGGGCTGTCCCCGACTAACGATTCACATAGTCGAATCAGAATTGTCAAGTCCTGCCTCGACTGATAGACGGCTAAACTGAGGCTTTTGAAGATCTCTCTCTCTCTCTCTGCTTTATTGGCATGAATGTATTGCCAAAGCTACAAATAACAATGAATTTTATTAAATAAGCAAATAAAAAAATTAAAATTTAAATATAAAAATTCTGTAAAAAAATATTAAAAAAAAGTAATAAAACCGTAAACTTGTAATTAATAGACAAAAAAAATTAATTCATTAAAAAAAATTTCATACAAAACAATTAATAAAATATCAGACAACAATCAAAATAATAATCCCTCTCACCAGCCTTGTGCAGATAAAACCTTTTACGACTTAAAGGAGCATTTGGGGTCCTCAGCCGCTTTCACGCTGCCTTATTTTCCCGGAGTCTTGCGCCAATTTGCAACACAACAAAATAAACTATAGAGTATAATTTTAACGATATATATCGTCACATCGCACAGCCCTAGTATCGGACATATAGGAGCCAGTTCCATATTGTCACCGGGTTTCGGTTCCCAGCCCTGCACATGGTTGCAGGATTATGCCACAAATGTTTGTTCAGTAACAATGAGTGAATGCGGCGTGTTGGCGGATATTCTGTCCCCTTTTATTTTGGGTTCTCTGTATGAAAGCGGCTTGTGTCAGCCGTGGAGGGGGACGCCACCTGCTTGTCCCACCTCAGATCCGCCTCTTTGGCGTGTGTGTGTGCGCGTGTGTGCGTACCTAGCGCAGGATATCCCAGGTAGAAGCGGT